TAGCTGAGACAATTCTCTTTCATATATTTGACTTCTTTTTACATTTTGATGACGTCATCATGGTCAAAAAAGTTGTTTTTTCTGACCCCCACATCTTTCTTTCATCAAAAAGTTGATGAGCCCATATCATCTTAACCATTCGTCATTTCTGAATCATATTAAGTGAGCATAATCTTCAGGTCTAGGTTGAATGTCAGGTACCTTAATTTTCCGTTCGCGCGACTTAACGTGCGCGTACGCGTGCATCAACATTTACATATGCATAAAACCATGAATATTTTTTAATCACTTATAGCTCCATAGAATGAAAAGTGACCCCCAATTTTTATTACATATTCTAAAAGCACATGAGTTGTAGATACGATTTTATAGATCATATTGGCTGATCGGACATTGTGACGTTATCATATTGCCATTTGAATTAAGAAAAAATTGAATTTTTATTTATGACGTTATTACTTTTTATACTCGTTTGAACGTACTCGCTTATCTTGATTCATTGTCTCCCACCTGTGAGTATGTTATAGCTAAATCAATTCTCTTTCGGACGTGTCCCTTTATTTTTTATTTTGATGTCGTCATCATGGTAAAAAAGAATGCTTTTTTTGTAGCCTTCTCATCTTTCTTCCTTAAAAGATGTAAACACATTGAAAATAGAGGCCGGCAGACTGTATTTCGACACTATCAGACCGATAGTTCGTATACTGTAAGCAAAATTTGTGTGGCATTACCAACCAACAGGGGGTTTTAAATTAAACTTGACAAGGTTTAAATTCATGTGCCATTACCGTCGTCAAGCACGTCATATAAGGTATTTGTACTTGTGCGTTAAAATTTTAAAATTGTTAATATCACTTTTCAGATAATTAAAGCACGTTTCAGGTCATTTTGAATATTCCAAAACTTTCCAATTTTTACGCGCCATACTCTCATTTCCACGCCCACAGCACGTACTGAAGCTGGAAATTACGTTTCGGTTACATGTGTTGGGTTTGTGAAACTGTATTAATACTACCGTGCGCACGGACGTTAAGACGTATGTGTACACATTCGTAAGTCCTTAAAAAGCTCAAAATTACTCTTTTCCTTTAAAATTTCTTTTAAAATGCTCAAAATTAATCTTTAATAGAGCATGTTTTAGCATATAATACTTTTCAATCAGAACCGCGTGTGCTTCGTGAGGGTCAAAGTACGGCGGATCACCAAACTCGTCCTCAGTGACGAGTTCAAATCTAGTTAATCATATTTTTGTTTCCGGAAAAAAAATGACAAATTTAGTTTTTTTCACTATTAACAACATTCATTTGTTGGTGTTTACACCAGTCTACTGTATTACCTTCTGGAAATGGACACTGGCTTCATCAAAATCTAACATATTACCAACTAAAGGTTTAAATAAGTTTGAATCATCAACAAAAATCCTAAAATAAAAAAAAAATCAGTAGAATTTAGTAGATCATTAATATAGATCAAAAATCAGAAACATCCAGAACTGATCCCTGAGGAACACCGTATTTGAAAGCTAACTTGTTGATTTGAAATTTATTATAAGATACAAACAGAAAAATGTTAGATATCTTCAAAGCAGGAGACATGAAATATTTTAATAAATATAGAGGAATTTCACTAACTTTCTGTGTTTAAAAAGTTATTTTTCTACATATTTTTTATTTCATTGAAAGTCCAGGGAGGTTTCAGATCTAAGCATCTATACCCTTAAAAGTATTCTAACATGTAGATCTAAAGAAGGATAAAAATACGTATCTAGCTTTCATGGACTTCCGAAAAGCATTTGATAGTGTTTGTTTTAAAAAAAAATAGTAGGTTTAAATAACCGGGAGAAATAATATATTTTATATTGTGCAAGTAAGAATTATGAAACAAGTGTTACAATATGCTTTACTAAATGTATAATAGAATATATACTCATAAGTCTACACATTTTTTTTTATAAGAACCAGATCAATTTTGAAGATTCTAATTTTTCGGCCAATTTCAAGCTCAAAATGTTTAATGCCATATTGTTCTTATTTTATACACTTTTTAAAGATAGAAAATTGTTATTTCACAGTAATATACTACTGTACTATATTACAAAGGATATCATCAAATACAAATAAAACCAAAATAATTTTTTATTGGTTTTTCTAAAAGTTAAAAAGACTAAAAACAGCATTATAAATTTTACCTCAATTTGTTCTTATTTTTAAAGAAATTTCAGCCTCAGTGTTCTGAAAACCGTGGTTATAAAATGTTTTCTTATAAAGTGTATCAGTTACACACAAATACATTTGTGTCAGTGGATTACTGTAGCACTAGCATAGCAGCACCGTTTGATTATGATAATGACGACAATGATCGTGTAATAATATACTGCAAAAAATTAGTTTGAGAAGAGTACTAAAAATGAAAATAAACTTTATCACAAACCCTAAGCAAGTTGGCCATTTATACAGCAGGATTGAGGTCTGTTTTATATCTATTTTGTCAATTAGGGATAATGTTTACCACCAATCTAACTTTCCCGCATACCAAAGTTTTTTGTCCTAAATCTTTTTCTCAAAGTAGATTGGGTGACAAGAGCACCTCGAGACCGTGGCCTATGTCTAATGCACCCGAGTTTCCGAGAATTAAAATTTGGTGGTATGAAACACGAATGTTCAGGGAATCTTCGAAGCATAATTTTTTTATGAAACAAAATAAATATTTACAAACATCAAATAGGCCTATTTGTGTTTTAATAATGTAACTTCTCTGAAATGATCCATGTTATTTATGCTAGACGTTTTGCTATCATTTTCAGTATCAGCTAAACTAAAGAGGTACAGGCCTATATTCGCGCGAAAATCCTGGGTACCAAGAACAGGATTAGTGGGATAAAAGGCAGCCACTCATAAGAACTGCAAATTACGTCATTTTTTATGCCGTATAGCAAGAAAAATTCAACTCGACGTAACAGTCGCAAGCGCTCGTTTAGGGCTCTGGATTGAGTTCAACGTTTAAGTTCAACTTTCGTTAGAGACTGAAAATTGCTTATTAGTCTGTGGCCCAACACGATCAATGCAACAATGACGTCTTTAACTTTGCGTAAGAGTCGTAAGAATTGTATGAGTCGTAGAAAACCAGGCATTACAGTATACGGCGTAGTTGAGTGGACTGTTTACACGTACTTTCACTTTATATTATATTTTATTCATTCACACAAGATTGGAACGGATTTCATTCATTCATACATTTCGTTGTTATACCCCGTTATTGACAAATTCTATTCGCGTTCACATAATTGACCGTGAAGACTCACGGATAATTTATCATTTGCCAGTTTTACTATGGATGAACAAAATCTCACGGATTTCAAGGTTACTCATGGATCAAGATTTTTAAACTAATAAATGATTTGCGAACAGCATACAGTAATGCATTTAGATAAATCATTTGCCATTCATCTGTAGTGTTATGTAGCAAATATTAAGAGTAAGCATAGGGTGTGCAAGCCCATTTTGCTTGACGTTGGAATCGTAAACAAACGCTGCCAGTAAAGCATGCTGCCATCGGCGTACTTTTATCACCCAGTAATGCACCGCACATCGTGTGTTTGTTTGTTTGTTTATCTGTTTTCCACAAGAAAGTATTGTAGTACATCTTGATTCATGAATAAAAAGAGTCTGTAAAAAACATTTTAATTTTATACCAAGCAACTGTTGCTTGGTATAAAAATAAATAATAATATTCTGGATGTTTATGATTGGACTTGAAAACACACCCCGCCATTGTATGCTAGTAGATTTTATTTTATTTTATAAATAGAAAAATTTATTAGGTTATCAAAAATTCGGGAAATATTGATGGGAATAAAAAAATTTTTTTGGCTGCATCAATTATTTCAACAGCAATTTTGTGACTTAAACCAGTTTTTATACAATATTTACTATTATTACAGACAAAATATAAATAGTCCCTTCCTCATCAATAAAAACAAAAGTGAAATAATCTATTGTTCCGATTAAAAAAAACAAAACCGCCCTCCCTCATCAATTTAAAAAAGTGACAATCTAAGAATTTTTTCTATGTGCCCTTATGTGCTTTGAATTGTTTTTGGTGGTGTTGTTTTTGTAACTTTTGTACTTTTATTTAAATTGTAGTTTATAATAGTAATTGATTATTGACTTACTTGAATATTTTATGTATCTGGTGTATTTATGTGTTGTATGTACAGTAATTGTAAGAGTAATTTTTTTCATGTGCCCTTTTATTATTTTTGATATATTTTTGGACTGCAATTTGATATTTTCTGTATTTTTTATCCTGAAATTCAATTCAATTTGTTGTAAATAAACTATATAACTATAACTTTAATTAATATTTAATATATAATATTAAATTATGTAATGAGTAGTTGCCTAAAATTTCTTTGCTTTTTGTAATTTGATGTTTGACATATTTTCTAACTGTTTATGCCAGAATCAAGGAACATTTCTGTTAAGGAATTTCCAATAGACCAATAAAGTTTATCTAATTACCTTTCTTATCTTATCATCCTTTGGTCAAATTTAAATGAGTATAACTTTTTGGTTCTGTTAGGTTTTCATACATATTTGACTAAATTTAGTGACAAGATCAATAAAACCAGTAGTGAAAAGGCCCAGACTGTGAGAGCTTCAATGGAGACTTTGCCTCCCCACTGGATCACCACGAGGGGCTGTCAGCCCCTGCTCCCCCCCCCACCCTCTCCCAGCCAGTGGCACGTGGCAACACAAGTTCTTACGGATTTTTTTTTTGAAAAGTTGGCAACTATGCGTTGAACACGGGTGCACTGGATGGCAGCATTTAGACGGGCCCTGGGGCATACGCAGTGGCCTAACCTAGGGCTATCATAGATAGCTAGGCCTATGGCCTACAGCAAGGCCGGGGGAAGAGCATAAAAAATGGGAGCCTACTGCTCCCGAAATATTTTACTGCCCATTTTCAACTTAAAAATAACAGCTAACACGAGTACTCACCAGAGATGAAATGACGCAGGCATAGGCCTACTAGGCCTAGGCCAGGCCCTAGTAAATATTCTGCACACTTAATCATCAAAACTTCTCCAGAATAATAGTAATATGCATTTCTGCCATGTCTTTTAGCTTCCGTAGTATTGTAAATGAAAATATCCTGTAGCAACTGATGATTTATGGGGCACTTTTCTTGGGTTTTACAATAATTTATCAATCTGACAGGTCTGAAGTCTAGGCCTAGGCCTCAGGGCCGTAGTCCTAGGGTCCGCAGGTAGTAGTAGGGACGAGTAGCATGTCCTGATGAAAAATCATTGTCCTGCTGTACTTTCAAAAATGTTAGGCCTATTTCAGGGTCTAGACTAAAGATACATTTCCGTAGTGCCTCTGTTTATTTCCGTAAACGTCCATAATTAGGCAAAATTTAGGTAGCAACTACGCACGTTCCGTAGAATTTGGAAAAGTCCGAATGTACAGTATTTAAAATTCCAGGCTACAGGTGTTCTAACACATGCGGTCTGATTCCTTTACTGATAATATCCTGTTCGCTACAAGAGGGCGTCATGACGCATGTATTTTAAGAGCTGTGGTTTATTCGTTCGTTCGTTTTTATTTTCCATTAACAAAAAATTATATTTACATTTTAAATAATTAGACTTTACACTGATAATGCAAATAAAAAAAAACGGTAGCCAGTGATGAAGCGGCAAATAAGTGCAAAGCACCTCTAAAAACAGCCCATACCATAATATTGCACTCTCATAAACAACAACAGGAAAAATGTACAAAAAAATGGATCTGCATCACCCAAAACAATTGCAATAACCAGTACAGATAGCTCATGAAATGACCAGAAAAATGCAAATCTAATTAAATGATCACTTAAGAATCCGACATTATTATCAGATGTACAACGTTGAGATGTGAGATTATGATCACTAAAATAGAGCTTCATATGCTTTGTAGCCAACACATTAATAATGAAATCTAGTCTACCATAGAGTAGAACCAATGTAAACAACCTTTACTAAAAAGAAATGCCTCGACAAAATAATTATATAAGCATCATTTTTTGTATTTGGCAACAAGTAAGAATAATTATAGCTTTCTAATGTACACGCACTCACATCCCAATAAACATCTTATAACCTAATTTAATACGAGTTGATTAAATTGGTTTACAATTTCCAGAAGAAATACTATTAAATCATAACATATACCATCTGAGGTGAAAACTTGAAAGGTGCATATAAATGGACCAAGAAGATTATCTCTTAATTATTAATTATCTAAACAGAAAAAAACAATTCAGTTGTCATTGATGAATTAGAGATGTTTTACAAAACACATTTTTTATGACAATACCCATTATTTGCCCATATATGGTATGATATGACATCAACATGCCCACATATAAATACATTTAGGGTAATGCCTGTGTGTCAGTTAAATGTAAATAATCTTCTATTAATAATTTATATGTTTTTAAATAGACAAAGTTAGCAATGCAGGTACTGAATTTGAGTTTTTAGGTCAACATAGATGGTATATGTTTACAGGGATCCAAATTTTCCCATGAGTTACGGCCACAAAGTTGCGGAATACTCTCGGAAGCTGCTTCCAACAATCTTCCAGATATTAACTCAATTCTCGCAAATTCTGACTGTTTGCAAGTACAGTTGGCCCTCTAATTCAGGACCACCTCTGGCACCTGAAAATTTGGAGTGGTCTCTCAAGAATGTTCGAAAGTGATTTTTCCAAATTTGGGATCCCTGTCTTTAACATTATTTCTATCCTTTTATTTTTACAAATTTTGGTTTTAAATATTAGTGTAGTGATTACCAATATGTGACTATATTTTTATATTTATAGTTGTCTTGTAATTTTATCTTTGTGTATATTTTTGTGTATTCCTTGCTCTGTACTTTTCTTGTATATATGAGACAGTAAATAAAATCTTGAATCTTAAACTAAACAGAAAAGCAAATCAATTAAAATTAAAAAAAACTTTATTAATCATTATCAAGAGAAATATTTGAACAATTCTCGTCTCTACCTAATAACATTAACAAAATCTGGAATATTCAACCAATTTACATACAGTCAAGCCGATTCAAGACTTTTACATTTAGATGTTGTTAAACAAATTTATCTGATGATAATTACATCATCTCGTTATTATCAATACAGTTGTTGGTTATCTATTACCACTAATATCCTTCACCACAAGTATCTACATGATTTTAAAACTTTTGTCCCCTGAGTCCACCTCTCACTGTACTTGGGTTTCAGCCTAGAGATGTGTTGGTAGAGAAATTAAAAACATGTAGGCTATGATTAGTGAACCTCAGGTCTTGGGATTTATTGGGGGGGGGGGGGGTTTCAAGGGGGCCCCAGCCAGACTAGCTACCCTCCCCCTAAATTCTTCAGAATTATAATTCAAAAAATTGAGAGAAAAAAAAAATTATATTCAAATTTAAGTCTGAGAGTGCCATTTCCGGCCATCTCGATGTGCCATGTTCCCCTCAACCCCAACCATGGTGAGGATGAGGTGGTATGACCCTCCCTCTCTGCGATATTCAATCTCCCTGTTTCAGACATTGCATGACTGTTCATCTGTCTCGTAACATTGTTATAGGCCTATTTATTTATACAGTGAAAGGCAGGCTTTACCTTTATAAACATTCAGATTCATTTATATACCTAACTTTTCTTGTATCCCCCCGTTGAAACTGATTTGAGAGGCTGCATGGGCATCCAAACAGTTTTATTCAAACCATTGATCTTGGGCAGCCACAGGTACAACCCAATAGTTTCAATGAGACCCAAGGCCATATGCCTCAAAATAAAAGAAACATAATTTTCATTAAAACAGTTTTGAATATTTTCATGAAGGGTTCTGCATTGATAATTTTAACATTTTACAAAATTGTTTTTGGTTGTCTTTATTATTCTAGTTGCATGATTAGGCCCCTTCATTAGCATATCTTACCCCATCTGGTTAGGGACCTTACAAGGGTAAGGGCATAATAACTTTTTTCGTAGCACTACGGCCCTTTGTCAGTGGCCATGATGGTTTTTTTTTTTTGGCAGCAAGATAGCACAAAAGTTTTACTTACATTTAAATAACTTCCTAAAAGTTTAGTACAAAATGCAAAAGTAATACAGTAGTATGATATTAAAACAAATATATAGACAACAGTTTTTTCCCCGTCGATATTAACACTAATAACAAGATTTGATTGCAAATTACTACACATCTACTAGTGTACAGTATATAAATTAAAGGCAGTAGCTATTGTTACACCAGTCCTAAACCAATGTATATGTATTGGAATAGGACACAACAGCCACTGCCTAAATTAATAGGCATTATCTAACTAGCTAATACAGTATCTAAAACCCCAACCAAGAAGATTAATTTGGGCCTCTTATCTACTTGTGCACAGGTAAAAATTGCTAGGCCTTATTCAGAATGTGTACGGAAGAGCACAGCTTCTATGCGTATTTCAAATGAGTGCATTTTACTGAACTCCTAAACCATGTATTGATGCATATGCTTACTTAATAATTTAGTTTAAATATTGTACATTAATCAAATTTAATGCAGTCTGTAAATACTGCTGATAGATAGATAGATGATTAGATATTAGGCCTGCTCAACAAACAGCATGCAATGCTAAGACATCATATCTTGTTTAAATTGTTATCTACCGTATTGAAGATTAACATACAACATAACATAATATTCTGAATAATCTATTACTTCCACATGTAATGACGCATAGACTGCGACCACCAACGTAGGCTTTATCATTATGATTTGAAATACGCATGGAATACGTGCATACATACAAACAAGGCGTGCCCGCAACATCTGTAAATATTTTATCTGAAAAATGATGTCCTAATATTTACTCACTGGATAATTTTTGAAATAATAATCTAAGTCCACATGTTTTGGTAGGTTTGTACATATGTTCTGTTAAGTCAAAGACACATGAACAAAACCTCCAATATATTTATTATTTTTCTGCTTATGAATGTTGAATACATTTTAAACATTCCACACTAATGCCATGAAAAATGGAGGTGAGAATCTAAATATTATTTTTCCTTGGCCTAAATGGTAAAAAAAAAAATGATTTTACAAGACCTAAACATAATAATCATAATTTTATCATTGACCGTATTTATCCTGCAGCAAAATACATTTAATGAATATCACATTATTTATTCAGTGCCAAAACCATATAAAAATTCAATGCCCAAATAAAGAATAATACAATAGTGGAGTTTGCATTGTTTCTCAACAATCGCAGAATTATTGGCTACATTCTTCACTGGTTAACCGAGACTTTTTTAATACCTTGTTTAGCGAACCTGCCGACAGCAAATATTGATGATTTCGATTAAAAATAAAATTTTTAATCGAAATCACCAACCGCCACGAAAAAGTGGATATTTCAGAAAAAAAGTTTTTTAAATTTTTATTACGCCCTCCGCAGACTTCAAATGTGTATATTTCTTCATAATTATATAAATTTGAAGGATTTAACCATCCTATTTTACATTCATAAATAAAATTTTATTTTTATTGTCTCCTCCGTCTGGATGATTTTGGCAAAATTATTTGCTAAATAAGAAAACAAAATTTTATTTTTATTTTCATTCTGCCCTCCTCCGATAATCTTTAAAAAAATAAGTACACGAAACAAGGATTAAAAAAAGTCTCGGCTTCGCCATAATATCAATTAAAAACAGCCTTTCAAAGGAGTAACATTTGTTGGTATTTTAAATTACCTTTAACACATTGGCTGCCAGCGATGAGCATACTCACCCACAGGGTGTTGCTGACGGCGCCAGGGACAAGTATACTCGTAAAAATCGGGGTAACATTCTATAGCATTTATAACTTCTTTGTTATACATTGTAGAACCACAGACTAGACAGATGGTAGTTTCGGGGAAGATACACCTAGACGTACAAATGACATATGTGTTTGTTGCCGGTAGTACACTCAAGCGGCACAAGTGGGGGAGCCCTTTGAACATATAGTAACCCATGCAAAAAGCGGACGAGATAACGCGCACTTGGAATGGTAAAAAAAAGTGCTTTCACAGTACTGGCAACGAGTTTACTTGTCCCCTAATATTTTCCCGCCAAATTAGACACATTATTTTGATGATATACGACTAGATAAAATTTCAAAAAAGTATGTTTGTACACGTAAATTTGTTTTAGCACAAGGGAAAGAACCTTCAAAAAAGGTCTGGCAGTCAACGTGTTAATGCCTTCAACATCATATATTTCCAATTATTTTATTGCTATGAACAATATTTTCATGTATCATTTGATGTAGCAATGAGTTTAGTTATTCGTACAACCACTTACTTCATTTTTCATAAGCTTTCACAATGATGATATGAAAACAACTCAATTATAATCGGATTTTCATTGGCTGCTTACCATGTTTCTATGGAAACAGTTGTTACTTCATTCACATAGCTGAATTGTAATTGGCTGTTTGCCACGTTTCTATGTAAACAGTTGTTGTTACACTAATTTATATTGGTTGTTTGCTTGTTTCTATGGAAATGGCTTTATAGGCCCAGAAAAAAAAATTTAAAATGAAAAGGCAGATGTCTTTATATGGAAATATTCCAGTAATAAAAGTATATAAGTATTAAAATGTTTTGAGCTTGTATCCACCAAAAAGCAACCAAAGAAAATGTATTTTTTTAAAAATAAACAAAACAGAAAACTCAAACTTAAAAAATATCAATCTATATACAACCCATAATAAAATCGCAATATTAATTATTAAATTCATGATCAAAAACCCAAAGCATACTACAAAATTCAAAAGCACTCAATTCAATAAAATACTGTATTAGGAAGAATGGGGTTTGATTGCAGTCACTCATAATTATTTGACATTAATTAACACTACTACAATATAACTCTGTGGGATTTAAGAAAGCACAAAATGATGATGGTAGTAACATGAAGTGAAGGAAAAAGGCCCCTTAAAACCAGCTTGAAGGACCAAATTTGTAAACCAGAGTACAACTAAACTGAAGGCCTAGATTTACACCATCTCACCCTGCCAACCTTTACTCAACTAAAAGCTACAATACCCCAGCCATCCCTTACACCATTAATTATCCCTCATCCCTGGCTGGTCTCCCTATGCCAGTATTCTCCTACCAACCACATCAATAAGAGTAAATAATGCAGACATCTCAAGTACTATAAACTTCCGTAGTTAGCCCTATTTTCTACGGAAATTTTGCCTAATTACAGACACACAGAAATAGACAAAAATACTTTCGAAATTTATCATAGGCCTAGACCCATAAATAAATAGGTCTAAAGTCCAGAACAATTGACTTTCCCATTAGGATCCCTGGTTACATTTTCCCTAGACAACTCATACTTGTCGGATTACTGATAAATTGTTGTGAAAACGAAGAAAAACTGGCCAGCAATTCTTCACCCTGTCCTCATCGAATTACAGACAATAGCGGCCAAAGACAATCGGGCCCATTTTCAAAATAAATAGAACTCATGATATAATCTTGCACTAGGTGGTACTACGGAAATTTTTCATATACTACAGAAATCTGAAGACATAGTTATGGAAATGCATTTTACAAACTTGAGAAGTCTGATAAGGGGAAGGTATCTCTTCTTGCAATTTGCCTTTACTGTAACTTGTAGCTCTATAGTATCCATACCTCTTTGGTTTAGACTTAGCATAACCACCTTGAAAACTTTGCTTTTAAACACCTGCCTTGATACAAGAAGCTGGCCAGCCTACTGAATTCACTCTGCCTAGCAAAACCCTGCCTAGCTATAGGCATGTCTTAGTCAAGACTATCAGTATAGACAAGTAATTTATGCACCACTTTTTAGTAATATTGTAGACAGATTTATGGTGGGGTACGGGCATAGCTTTATATAAATAAATAATAAATTTGTTCTTCAATGATCAGATAGCAACACGCTAGCATCAATAAACTGAATGTATGTAATAGGCATACCTTTTTAACTATTTTAATAGTAAGTTACTTTGACTAAGTAGCAACATAATTGGTCTAAATCAAACGATGAATATTAAGCGGTAAAGTTTGTTCGTATGACTGAAATTGATCAGTTGAAAAGGATCTATGCCATTAATAATTTCAATCATTTCAACTGACCAATTAAATTGTCTGTTTTTAAATACATATTAGAAATAGTAGTTTTAATTACAGATCAAACCTTAAGAAAATATTTTTAAAAATTCACACCATTTAAATGTATAAATTAGCTAAAAGCAGCATAAAAAATAAATTAATATAAATCAAGGAGAAATAGAAATAATGTTGACTTGGATGATGTTAATACTGCCCTCTGTGGATTGGTAAACAGCACCCTCTATGTCCACAACTGCTGGTTTGTTTCTATAAAATCACATTCAGCCTCCCAGACTATCTCCCAAAAACATGAGAACAAATTTACATCTAGATACCCGAGCTGCATCATAACCCGGGATACAAGAACTGGTTGGTCGACGTAGCATTCCGGCCTCACCCAGCTTGTTCAATGGAATTCATGCTGCGAATTTTCACAACAAACATTTTGATAAACTAAAAATGCAAACAGTAGTGTGTGCGTCCAAGAGCGTTTACCTGAGCTTGTTTGTCGCCCCCCTCTATTGGAGGGTGTTTGTTGCTCTCCATCTACAGGATTTTTCTACGGTGTGCAGTGCCTCTAACAGTACTAGGTGAAGCCATATTACAGTAAACCAAAGTTACGGGACTAGGAGTATAGTAGTAGAAATGAGAATATCATTGCATCTGATACACGTGTAGAATCACGTGTGCTCGTGCTCATATGTACACGCAGACCGACTACACTATGAGCGAATGTCACGCATCCTTGTCGTTCTATCTTCATAAACCTAGAAGGATATAAGAAATCACACAATAAGAGTTAATAGGATGATTTTGCTGTCAGGTCATAAGGAATAAGGCTATATATTTAAATTCAGTATAGGGTGGGTTTCTACCACTGATACCATAATATCTGGATTTCTCATTGGCTGATTTTAGTGAGGCCACCGACGCAATGTTGGAGGGCCTACGTGACGTATCAGTTTAGACAAGTTTCTTTTCCCGTTTGTTTAAATTATTGTTAAAAACAACGATTCTTGCAATACTTTTTAATTATAAATTTAAATTTAACATAATGATCACTTTACAAATCATCTAACCACTTGATGCGAATGTTTATGTAATTTTCAAAAGCGCAAGGGAAGTTATTTGCCTTGTTAGTGATTGACGTCACTATAGCAACGGGACTTCGCTCATGCTTTTTTGTAAACAGTCGCGTCGAGTGGTTTGATGATTTGATAAACAAGTTCTTATGTTAAATATAAATTTATTATTGAAAAGTATTGCAAGAATCGTTATTTTAACAATAATTTAAACAAATGCCAAAAGAAACTTGTCCAAGCTGGTATATCACTTAGGCCCTCCGACATGGCGTCGGTGTCTTCACTTTTTTCTGTACAAGGATTGGCTGATGAGCAATCCAGCTATTATAGTAGAGATCAGTGGCTTATCCACAGGGATCAACAAACACTAACTTGTGGGCTTGCAGTGGATTTGTGCATTTGTGGGAAAAGTCTTAATATTATTATTATTATAGATTATAAATCTATAAAGGACACTCCTGATGCTAAACTTCAATGTAATTTATTTATTTTAAGGTATTTCATTTCATTTCTATATTTCAAAATCGCAGTGAAACACTGAATTACGGCAATTTTTACACAAGTTAAAAAGTTGACAAGATTGTCATAAAAACAACATCTGCAAAAGTAAACAATTCATTAAAAATTGCATTAAAACAGACAGGTACAATACAACAATAAAACTTCGAAATTGGAAAAATTAATAAACAGTAAATTTAACCCATAATTCTGTACATTAAAATTTTTATTTATTTATTTATTCCTTACTATGTTCAAAATGTATTGCTATTTCACTTCAACATTGAACTTCTGTTTCAAAAAGTAAAGATAAAGCTTGGTTTCCATACAACTGCTACACGCTATTGCCAAAAGCTTTCGGTGATGATGATTGGTCAGTCGAATCAGGAAGCTTCCCGAATGCATTGGAAACTGCTATGCAGTACAAAGATTGCATTGAAAACACTGTAGCGATTGTATGGAAACCAAGCTTGTGGGGGTGGACTTATACCTGTGCGGGATATCTAAACAGGCAACTATAGTACAAAGAAATAAAAACACAGAAAAAAAACATAATACACTGCTTCATAAATTCAGTATGTAAGGAGTATGTAAGTCCAATATATGTTGTTTAAAAATAATGCAGCGGTTTCCACTGTCAATTGTTAGTGAGGCCTGCACACAATATAAATGATAAAAATAGTTTATTTTTACCTTAGTTTTTTCAGGTTGTTGAAAGGTGCTATAACCATTACTGTTACTTATATCCTTGGATACTACACACATAAACTCCGTCTGGTCCTCGCTTCCATATATATACTGAGTACCTATATTCACCAGCTAATTGTAATATAAAACATTCATATAATTTTTTTTACATATTTTACACCGGATGCATCTCATTATTGTTCAAGTAACATTACATTCCCATATGCAATGACACTAATACCCCATTCAGACTAGCATCGCATTGCGATCGGTTGTAGCAATTGCGACACCCAATCGCAAAGTAAAATTGCGTGTGAAAGCTCACCAATAGTCGATATGTAATTGATATCGTAATTGTTACCAATTGCGATTGGGTGCTACAATCTTCATTACTCGCAACGAATCACAACGAATTCCACAGGCACTGTTTGGCTGAGGTCAGTCAACATAGGCCTGGCCACCGGAGGCCTGGTCCTAGAATATAAAGTTTGTTTGTGTTGGTCTGAATGCGTTCGATTATTGCGATCGGGAGCAATCAGTTTTGAATTACCACCGATTACATCGCAACCGATCGCAACAGAGTGTAGTCTGAATAGGGTATTAGATTTTTCTTTACCATCGAAGTATAATTATTGTCTACTTAATTATTCAATATCTATATGAAAGTGAAATGTTCCATTATTGGATTAATGCATTAATGGGTTTTTAATTGGAAAGAAAAGTTCAGAAACTTGCTCGTAGTATGAAAAAAAAAAATAGAAAAAAAACCCAGAAAAATTTGAATGGATTATTCCATTTTTAGTAGGGTACATTAAATTTATGCAAAAATGTACCTGTTCAAATCGCCAGCCATCTGACATTGTTGATAACATCTGAGTTAGCTCCTCCTCCTGACATTGTATCACTCGATAGACATGCTTTCTTGGACCCTAAGAGATAAGAGAAAATTTAAATAAGTCCTATGAATCTATTAATGTGAGTACCTAGATAAACTGTGGTCTTTAGCAGCTTTAGTCTCTCATTAGAATAATCAAGAAAAAAAAAAAAATTGTTAATTTGGGACCACAGAATAGTGGTCTTTAATTACACCATAGTATACACATCTTTTTTTTACTATGTATATATTAATATTAATAATAATATAATTACAAGGTCTTTAATAGAGCATTACAGCATATTATTTCTTACTGTGCTATTTCTTGTTTCCTTATCTAAGATCCTTTGTTTCAATAACTTGATGAGAGATGTTACATTATAGAATTCAGCTTCTTCTAGGACACCTAAAATGCAAAGTAATAAACGATTTTTGTTTATTTTATTCACTTGTGAAACTTGAAAACATAAGTAATTTATTAAGTTATATTATATATTATATTATATATATATTATAAGTTATTTTGATTAACTGATCTTTATCTATTTCATCCTCCATTACATCCTCTTCCTTATCATTATCTGCACCATTAATGTACCTCTTCATCTTCCTCCATCCTATCCTCATCATCAATACTTATCCTCATCACCATGACTATAATCATTCATTACCATCTTCCTTATCCCCATTATAACCATCTTCATTATCACCATCCTTACCATCCTCATCTGTGTTATCCTTATCATCATTATTCTCCACCTTATCCTCCTCATCAACAACATCATCCTGGGGCGGATCAGGATTTGGCAGTAGGAGGTGCGTGACAGACCACACCACCTCTGTCCTCAGTCCGACCATGGTTGGGGCCGGCTGAGGGCAGAGAATTGTCATAATATGGACCTCTCTGTGGTGGATTCAGAGTTTACCCCGACTATCGCACAGATGGGGTCCCAGATTGGGCGAGGCCATGAGAAGAGAACATAATGTTTGCTTGTTCCATTGCTGGAAGACAAATTTTAGACGTGGGGTGGGAGTCGTGTGGTCTTCCATCGGAAAGTTTTGTTTTCTAGATGCTTATAGATATGCACTGTCGTGCATTATGGGACGTCTATTAAAGAATGAATACACACAATAGTTTTTCTGACTTTACTATGGACAATTTACAGTATAATTATGAAGATGATGGTGATGATAAGGAGGAGAGGGCACCGCACCTAAGCGTTGGCAGGCTCCTGTGCAAGATTAATTAACAGGCCCTTTGATATGATATTAACCGAGGCCCGTAGACCAAGTTTGTTGTCACAATTTCAATGCACATAATTGGACATCAGTAATTATCTACAATTTATATGATCAGTACATTCTCAACTGTGGTGAATATATCCAAAATTTACATTATATAACTTACGTTATATGCATGCACGGAAGTGGAAAGTTTAACCTAAAATTTTGATATATGTTTCATGTTGTTTATTGAATGGTCTTTAATGATATTACATTCTAATATGACCACAACATAAGGAAGAACACTTTGTCACCTTCAAAATTCAGTCCCATAAAAATTTATATTTCCTTAGGCCTAAAGGAAATCCACTCTTCAAATGTTTAGCATAGACAGGTACACAGAATTTATATTGACTGTCAATCTCATATATCGAAATTTTGGAAAATTACATTTCATGCAAGCACGGATGTGGGAATTTTGTTTTATGTTGTTTGAATTGTAATAATATTACAGTTACAGTCTAAAATGACTACAACATAAGGAAGTCCATTTCTTTAATGTTTATTAGCAAAGCAAAAGAAATTCTGATTGTTTATTAGTATCATTATACACGTTAGATCTAATTTCCAAAAAAATACATTTTAAGTGCATGCGCCGACATGGAACATTTAAAATAATAATCTTAGTTAATAATATGGTTCTAAAATTCATCTTATGACCACAACTTTTAATTTGTAACTACTTCTTAAAGAAAACATTATAATGCAATTCTTTCAAAAAGTGTACCCTGACCATAACCATATTTGGTATTGTACCTCCATCAGCTGCTGGGAAAGTACATGTAATTAAATATGCATAATTGTCTTCTGTGATTGGTTGATTGCCAACTTTTCAATGCTTAGTGGATATACTGTAATGCTTTGGTGGAGAATAAACAGTAATGCGTTTCCTCTCATAATAATTTCATATTTCTAAAATTGTTTAGAGTATATGATCACTTCATATGATAGATAACATCCACAGGGTGCCTACGCCAAAATCTCAAAAATTGATAGGTTGTATTTTTCCGAATTACGACAGACTGAGTAAATTACTGGTTTTTAAAAGTAAAAATCAGGGAAAATCACAAATTTATATTCAGTACATTCTTGACTTTCTTGGAAATGTGGACCTTATCAAATCTGATTGGGCGCGTACACACACTTCTCAACACATCCCCTACTGGATATACGGTCCTGGAAACTTTACATTTTACTTGCCAATAATAAAGTATTATATGCTTATTAATTAGATATCTTCTCAATTTCTCAGTATTTCTCTTTAATTCTTTTTCCACTTCTAACGCTGTTTGATTTGAATTCCAGATACCATTCATGTTGTTGCCCTTCTTCCGATCCCAGAGCTCGGTGGTCATTTTTGACATTCTTTTTAGATATATCAAAATGTGTTCCTAAATTTTAAGCTCAAGGTCTACAATTAGGCTCCCCAGTCAAAAAATACCTGTCTTTTTTTTATATAGCATTCATTACCACAATGAAATAATACTGTAATTCATTAATTAAAAAGTAATAAATAAAATAATAGTTCTTCGTTTTAGTGTAATTTTGGAATAACAAAATAAAATAAAATTATATATGCATTTTCATAAGGTTAAAAGAATCAATGCATATGTATCCTCCCTGTGACTGATTTTTGATTAACCATTTACATTGTGACATGAATCAAACTAATAAAAAAAAAACATTCTACAGTGAACGTTATCACAGTACATCGTGCAGCCGATTTAATTAGTCCTTTTTTGATTAATACTTAATAAATTAATACTTAATAAAATAAAAAAATTAATACTTAATAAATTAATAATGCAAATAGTATTGCATTTACAGTATTTTGTCTATATTTTTGTTCTGGTTTAGGTAGGTGGCATTTCTGACAGAAAAGTTGGAATTCGCCAGACCGCCAGGCACTGCAATCATACTATATTTTTTTTAAAAATAATTTATCTCTCACTCTGACCTTAGCCATGGCAAACAGTGCGAAGGTCTGGATCCGCGCCTGCATATAGGTACCCAGAAATTGCACTTTCATACCTTAAAAATCTTACCGCTAATTCATATCAACAATACAATACAACAATTATTTTTCTTAATAAAATTTAGGGGGGTGTGATCACTGCACCATCTGCACTTCCCCTCATCCTCATCATTTTCACCATCCTATTCCAGACCTTGATTTAAAGAAAAAGCAGGAGAGCTACTAACAGCTCTCCTCAAGAAATTGAGGAGAGCTGTTTTTTAGCGACAAAATTTTAGCACTAGGCCTACTGTTACTGTCTGTTGTTACACTGTGCAAGAGAATGAACAATAAATTATGTATCAGGACATAAATTCCCAGCAAGGATTATTCAAAATTAGCTTGGTTCCGATTGTCTGGAAATGGTTTCGATCGTCTGTCAATGCAATAATCAAGGACTTACGATCTGGCCCTCGTCTAGGTAGGCCTATCCTGGGTTAGGGCAGCCTAGGCCTAGCCTTGGGAGATACCGCGATTTACTTACTTAGGCTAGGCCTAGCCTTTGTCTTAGGAATCCTACTGCCATCACTCGGCTCTACGGTACGTACACCGTAAAAGCGACCCATACTTAAAATATTACACATATTATTTATGTATTTTTCGTTTCAGATAAGAACACGAAATCATTGATTAAATAATTAACGATATTTCTACCACTATCGCATAGGCCTAGACCTGTCTCTTATACACATCTAGATGTGTATAAGAGACAGCTCTTAATCCTTGGTTGTCGTCAGCTTGCGTCCAACGGGTACACTACCAGCTGACCGGCTGTCGTGAATATAGTGCTTTTGTAATGAAATTTGGTATTTTTGTTGCTCCCCTAGAAAAATTCAGGAGCGCTATTAATTGCTCTCCTCGCATAATTTCGAGGAGCGCGGAGGAGCGCCGGCGCGATCGCGCGCCTTTTAAATCAAGGTCTGCTATTCATCATTTTCTCCACAATAAGGCCAAAAAAAAAATTGTTTGTTTGCCCTCCTCCACCCGCCCCTAACTCATTGAAAAAATACGGGCAGGAAAACAAAAAAACTTTTTTCTTTACAAATTAAAAATATGTGAGTGAATTTATCTTCTTTTTTGCCAGATGCCCTACAATTAGTCTAAAGTTGTTGTCTGATGTAAGATGTTGCCATTCTACAGTAGGCCTCTGTGTGTTATCTTCATTCCATCTGACGAGTATTTAAAAAAAAAAATAAATAAAAAAAAAAACTATTTGGCCTAAATAATTAATAAAAATTAGAGATGATTGATTATTAGGATTCGAATGAAAGAAAATATCTTACCTTCATCTGCCAAATCTTTGTTTATAACTAATTTACCATGTCTTAGATAATTTAGTATAGGCCCAAAGTATGTTGGATCCCTGTCAATCAGATATGCGCCAGATTCATCCTTAAATATATACAAAAAAAAGAGATCAAAATGTCTCAAAAATGTGATCACAAATACTAAATTACAGGGTAGAAACGTTGTGGTGCTCTCACAGTTGCCAACTTATACGGATTGATCGTGAGACTCGAGGATAGTTTATCACTGCCAGTTTTACTACGGATGAACAAATACTCACAGATTTCTAGGTTACTCACGGATCAAGATTTTTACACTAATAAATAATGGCTTGGGAATGTCAAATACAGTAATATGCAATAAACAAAAAATTTGCCATTCGTCTGTGGCCTAGTGTTTAGCAACGAGTAAGTCTAGGCTATACAGTAGATAGTGTGAAAGCCCAGTACGCTTGTTGGAATCGTAAACAAATGACTCCCTTTACGCCCACTGCCGTGGGTATGCTTTTATTACCCAGTAATGTAATGCACACTGCGCACGGTTTGTTGTTTATCTGTTTTCCACATGACAGACTTAGTGTACTGTACTATGAATAAATTAAAAGGTTCACTATTTAATTATCCATCCCCAAAAATACCAGAGTCGGAAAAAAATGTTTTGATTTTATACCAAGTAACTATCGGGTACAAAGTAACATTCATCCTACATGTACAGTAGTTTACAGTAATTTACATTATTTTGGTCAAATTTTAATGAGTATAAGTATTGGTTTTACTGAGTTTACATACATACATTTTAAAATTAATTTAGTATCCAAGATCAGTCAAATCAGTAGTGAAAATGCCTAAATTGCGCGGCCCCTGGACCCAGCCAGTGGCGCAATGCTATGCAGAGATCCCAAGTTTGAAAACAAAAAAATAGGGAGATTTTTTTCGTTAAGCGATCGCCTCCTGTAGCGACGCGCTGTGACGCCTAACGACACGCTGTGGAACATGAAAGTATTCCACAAAATGAAGAAAACAAACAATTTTCATCAATTTGTTTACTTTTATTTAACAATTTTACATTTGTTTACACATTGCAGTTGGCCTACAGTAAAATATAAATTTATAAATATTATTATTTATTTAGAATTTTGATAGTAAAGCATTCTTGGCAGCAGTCAACAAGGCTTTGCTTCGTTCATTGGCATATTAGAGGCTATGGCTGATTTACTTATCTCATCAAAGAACATAGAATTCTAGTAAGGTAACTGCAACTTGCAAGATCCACATGTTTGCTGAAAAATTATTTCGGGATTGATATTAAAATAAACTTCATTTTTCGGAAGACTACTTAGTACCAAAACCTACTAACTATGACTTTTTTAGTATTGTTATTAAAGAACTGAAGCTTACTTGAAAGAAAAAGTATTTTTTATGCACCGATTCTACAAAGTTCCAAATCTTCGCGGTGAAAAAACTTCGGGCATCCATTCTCATGTCATTTCTAATTTCGTTACTTTGTTGAAATTTATTTACTCAACTGACAGCCATCTCATTGATTGAGGTCGGCGCGGATGAAAAAGGTCGTAACATGGAGGATAAATGAGACGCTTCTACCACGGATCTAGGCCTGCCTTGGCATGGAGCTGTTATTGATAAACAACTTAAATAACAACTTCCTTGTCTTGTTTACGACATTTTAAGGCTGAGCGAGCGCCATAGTATATTGGCTTAAGATAGGAAATTTTGTTTCATTGCTCTATGACATCATCGTGGAAATCACATTTTTCGTGAAATTTTCGGGATATTTAATAAAATCGGGAGATTATTATTAAAAATCGGGAGGGCGGGAGACGGCCTCAAAAATCGGGAGAAACCTGCGATTTTTGGGAGACTTGGGATCTCTGTGCTATGCAATGTGAGTTCTCACAGATATTGTATTTTGAAAAATTGGCAACACTAGAGCCTACAGTACAGTATGTACAGTATGTACGGTATGTGCTCTTGAATTGAGTTAAATTAGTGAGCTTCACATTTAATTTAAAAAAAAAAAAACAATGAATTAAGCCTACTACTATTATAATTACCAGTTCCTATTTCAATACCAAATTTTATACAATTCTTTTTTTTTTATTATTCAAAGGCTTAGTTAGGCCTTCCTCTAGGAACCTTCTTCTACTGTAGGCCTAACCAAAAAAAAAAGTGGATCAGCCTGAGATTTCCGTCCAGGTACTGCCAGTGCTACTACTACTAGGCCTAAACCCGGCCTAAACTACGGCCTAAACTACTGTCTGTCTGTAGGGCCTAGGCCTAGCCCAAAATAGTTCAAATTCAAAAGGTTCTGGAAAAATGGTGCTTAATAAAGCAGAACAAATTCTGCCCCTATATTCGTCTAGGATCCGGAATCAACGAGGGAAACATGAGCTACTATTGTAGCTCAAAATCCAACCAAACAAGTAAGCTAAAGCCTCAAGGCCTAGCCTAGGCCTCGGCTAGCCCACCGTTCGTTTTGCCTTAGATAGACAGGCCTAGCCTACCTTATCGGACTTCAAATCTGGATCTTCTTGACAGAGTCTTGCAAGGAATGATCGTGGGTCTCTACAAAGCGTGGTTCTTGTTGTGAGGAAATATGTTCCACCTACATTTAATTTGACCCACTTAGAAGTATTTTGAAACCCATTGACGACATCGTTTCCTTCCATTTTAACATCATTTTGGGCTTCGTTTGGCAGGTAAACTTCACCATTTGACGCCATCTTTAACTGGGAGTGTTTTGGAATGACGCCCTCATGCTCTCAAATCTCAATCGCAATGTTTTGTTCAGAGCACGGGAACCAGGCGATGTTTATGATGGTCTTCTTACCACTCAGTAAAATGACGCGCCAAAGAAAATATAAAAAAAAAACAGCAATAAATCAATAATAATATAATAATTAAAATGACAATGCTGATAATAATGACAATGGGCTTATTCGACTGGTTCATTTCGTTGATTACGAATTTTCGTTGAGTATTTATTTTCATTCGACTGGTTCGTAAAATAGACTTTGTTGACAACGAAAATTAACGTAACCAGAATGCGTTAATCAGCGTTAAGTTATGCACGTCACCAAAAAAATACGGCCGATTGGTCAGTTTAGCAACAAAATTTGCGTTAATATAGTTTAGATTAAATTCCAGAAAATAAAAATTACAATATTTACCCACACTGCAGTCAAAACATAATTTAAGGCTAACAGAATTCAAAAACTGGATGAAAACAATTTTTTTACGAAAAACCCATACTGCTTTTTGAATTATGATAGGCCTATTTATTCTATTTATTGTATTGTATTTAAATGTTGTTTATGTTTATATTTATTAATCTGTAATTCTGATGTTCGATGGTTTTATATTTCTAGGTCTGAATCTATAATTCTATAGGCAGTATTATACCGAAAAGATTATTTTTATATAGGCCTAGATATATCTCTGTTCATAGAGATATCTATATTATTAATAGAGATATCTAAACTAAGATACATCTTGTTCAAACAGGATAAAATATCTCTTTAAATCTAAGATATTTCTATTTGCGAATAACAATTTGGCTCGCCATGACGTTGGGGTTTTCAATACAAATATGTGTTTAGATATGTTAATTTTTCAACATTTGGAGTTATTGTATACTCAAGTTGCCCTCATAGAGTCCAATGAAACAAGTGAAAACACGACTTGGTGGTTTCATTAACCTTTTTTCATGTTCAATTCAATAAGCCAACTCTTAGTTTGAATTGCGCAACAAAGTCAATCAACATGAACAAACATACACACAACATATGTTGTTTGACCTTAGATACGAGCATATGCAATTAAAACTACGAATTGGCTTATAAGGAATATAATAATAATTTATGACCCTGAGTGTGGCAGGAAACTAAAGTTCTTGTAGGAAACCCACAACAGTGCGATATATCTATAATAATTTAGAAGGAAAGCGTTCTTTCATTATAGAAAATACTTTTAAACATTTAGTTTTAATATTTTTAAAAACCTTATTTACAATTAGGCATATACATCACCTTTTTCTTCTTATCGAGTCTATGTACATCACTAAATTTTACCTAGTCATAGCTTGACACACATACATTTTGTGGCTGTCATGATTGTTTTCACTGCTGTTATATTTAGGACTGATGTTCGATGGTTTTATATTTCTGGCTGTTTGGTGGTGGTGGTGGTGGTGGTCGAATCGGTTAAAGAGAGCGCCGCGAATGAAATGCTTCTACTCTGACCCCAGCATCACCGTAATACTAATAAATTTAAAGCTAATTTTTAAATAATATTATTATGTTGAATGCTAACCTACTGTAATGCATTTGTGCGTGTCTATGCGCCGCGTGAAGACATGAATTTAGTATTATATTACACCTACATAGATCCTTATCATTTTGATCGGTGGATTTTTTTTATCACGTGACATTGGTTATTTACCCCATTTCGGAACTCATCATGGAAATTCAGTTTCACCATGGACCTTTTGCATTCACCGTGCATTTTTACTTCCATCCGTACATTTTCGTTCCATCTGTTTCGCTCAATTGCACGGTGCCAGGGATAGGATACGTCTTCAACCAAATACAATCTTTTGATTGGTTAAAAAGACGCTAGACTATTCCATTTAGAAAAGGGTAGCCTTTTTTTTTTTAAATAAATTAATATCAAATGACAAGAATCTCCATTCAGAAAAAAGAGTAGATTTTTTTTCAATCAAATTTCAAATGACTAGACTCTATTTTAGGTGCGTTATAAAACAAATAATTTTTTTTTATTCGCGCAATGAAAACAATATTTTCATTCGTTGAAATATTGACTGTTCCATTAAACTCGGCTCCGCCTCGTCCAGATGAACAGTCAATCTTTACACTCATGAAAATATTCTTTCCATTACACTCATGAAACATGGTCGGACTTTACTGACAGTAAAATGAACGCAAATTTATTTGTTAATCAGTCGTTAAACGAAAGTTAATTGTTAAAAAGTTTTTTCTCTCACTTTTTAAATCCCTTTATCGTCCTCTAACTTTGCCAAGCTTATTGAACTGCATTACTTCTTGAACCACCGTCCAAACTAGCCTAGCTACAAAACTAAATCGCATCTATATTTACTAGAGCAGATTTTCCACTTATTGCTTTTGAGTATGTCATTAAGTAAGGTTTTGAAATTGCTTTTGTGTACAGTGGATACAGCAATTTTTTTTTTTTTTTTTTTTTTTTTTTTTTTTTTTTTGTTCTATCGATATAAAATTCTGAATAAAAGAATGAATACCCGAGGAGATGGAATGTGTTATATTGTTGACACACAGTGTTATATTTGAAATAAACAGAACAAAATAATTTCATGAGAAATGAAACTGAGCTGCATCTGATGATGATGATGTCCCAAATATTGAATATTGACTATAATCCAATGTTTAAAATCAAATGGAATAATAAAATTTGTAATTTATTTTTTATGTTACTATTAGGATATATTAGGATTTTGAAAATTTTTATTTTTATTTTTATGTTACTATATTTTATAGATTAAGATTTTATAAATATTAGGATATTTTTATATTGTGACTTTAACAATGATTTATTAGCCTCCCCACAAAGGAGCGAAGCTATGGGGAGGCTATTGTTTTTACCCATGTTCTTCTTCTATTGATAACTAATGCTTGGTAGGTCCGATTGGTTTCAAACTTGGTAGAATGCAAGATAGTAATAAGAAGACTGAACCTCAGTGGCGGATCCAGGGGTTCAAGGGGTTCGGACGAACCCCCCCCCCCTCTGTGAAGAAACGTAACAAAATACTATTGGGTCGCGGCTCCCCCACCCTTTGTACACAATGTAAAATTTTTAAAGGTTTTTTTGAGCCAATACAAATTATTTCTTGGGACCAGTCAAAATGAATAATTCTAAAATACGTAAAAATGCATCAGTACTCGTTTTACATAGACCTGGCCTACTATAATTATATCACATGTCTAAACGTGATTTTTAAAAATCCATAAATCCCAGGCCAAGTCTTTTAAGATACAGAAATGTGATACTGTATGGTTCAGTTTGGTTTTTATCCTTTTGCAAGCTTCTTTAAATTAGGGCCTATTGTTTAATAATACTATACTATTAGTAATAATAATAATAATAATAATAATAATAATAATAATAATAATGGTGATGATGATGATGATGATAATTGATAGTAATATTAATAATATTAAAATGTGAAGGAAATTGTGCTAAAGGCGAAAAATAAAGTTGTGATTTGTTGATGATAATATTGTAGTTAAGGCTTATATAGTAAATTATAGTTAGGTCAAGTTGTCCTGGATATCAAGTAGATCCCTGAAAAAGTACATGAGAAATTTGTTGGCGTTCCATTTCGACTACCGTATGTAATGTTGATGTGATGATGATGAATTTTACTACGTGAAAGTGTGATTTCCGGCCATCTAGAGGTACTATTTCCTCAAATTTTCTTCCTCAAATTTTACCTCAGCCCCACCAACCATGGTGGGGCTGAGGTAGGTGCCAACTCACAAAATGTCCTCCCCCTCAACCTTACAAAACAGATCTGCGCCCTTCTGGGTATGACATTAAACTGCATCGAGTCGGCACCTGACTCAGAGTATGTCTTGTCACTGCTGAGAAGAGGGGACATAAATTTGTTTTTAGAATGTGATCTGGTTTTTCATGCCATTTTTTCGTGATTATCACTATTTTAGATAATTTTTTTTTTTGAGAAAAAAAAACAAAAGGAAAATATATTCAAATTTAAGTATGAAAGTGTAATTTCCGGCCATCTAGAGGTGCCCTAATCATAAATTTCCATGGTGGGGCTGAGGTCGGTGGTTCCTCAGTCTGTGAAAATCCCTCCATGGGACACCTCTCTTTCGAATTCATGGATTCTGTTGATTTATTATAATTATTGCTGGGCCTACTAACATTATTTATGATGTGTCTAATACGATTGTCACTTTATCCTCTCAAAACAGTCCTTAAAACGTTCAGAGTGCGCTACTTCACGGGGGGGGGGGTTTCGTCCACTGGACACCCCAGGGTTATACGTATTTCGCATAACGGCTCCCCCCCCCTTTTCTCGCGAATCTTGTGGGACGGTCCCGCTTCAAAGTGATTTTGGATGTTAACACGCATTTGGCAGAAACACATGCGTGATCTTAAATTTGTCACGCATTTAGTCAACGCATGACGACAAATAATCACGAATTCAGGGAAAATATATTTAAAATTAGTTTTATTAAAAATATAAAACAATCATGCAATAACTTGAGTCATTAGAGAGCTTTCGTCATCGCGTTTGAGATTCAATTCACCAAAAGCTTTGGCGGCGCGTGTGGTCTTGCGCGTTCATTGTCACAATGTTGATTATCCATGAAGCTATCCAAAAATAAAAACAAATTAAATAAAATATTTTGATAAATAATTTTCTCATTATAAATAAAGACAACAAAATTCCTAAATATTTTAAATACAAAAGAATTTGTTTCTGTATTAGTTTCAACTAAAGAAATTTCTGTAATATGGGAGAATTTGGTTTTTTTTTTTTTGTTTGTTTTCAAAATGTCTATCTACTTTTAAATTTTGATTTTTAATTGTGTATAGAAGATGAGTGTCCATGTTTTTTTGTACGCAAGCTTGTCTTTGAGTCGGGTTAACTCACTGAAATCTAAAAAAAAAATAATCTGCTATCAAAAAACACCAAATATTGAGTAAGTTCTGGCTAT